ACTGGGCTCTTTCCTCCTTCTGCCTGCAGGCTCTCTACCTCCTCTCTCTCAATGCCCTAGCATTCTGCTGCGTGGGAATAACTTTGGATAACCTTGAGAAGAAGGACAACTTCAGAACACTTCATTGTGCTTATGTGGAACCTGCACCTGGATCAAGAAGCAGAACCAGGGACCATCGCATGGTTTGAAATCAGGAAGTGGGTGACAGGGTGGTACTCTCTCCTCATCCTGACTGTTGCTGTTAGGTGCCATGAGGTCTGTTCTAACCTACAGGGACCCTACACGCACAACAGAAATAAACACTGCCCGGTCCTGCACCATCCTCACAACTGTTTCTCTGCTGAAGGGTGGATGGCCTCCACCGTCCTCTGCACGCAAGTCACCATTCTGAGGACCGTACAGGGGCATCGTCATAAGTCCTGCTCTATCAGCTTCGCTCTGACTGCCCTGCACCCATCTGGTCAGTCCTTCTATCTAACAATGCATGGGTTCCCAATCATGGTCCCGCACCTGCTCCTGTAAGCCCATCTATCACAGCCGCATTGATCACCAATCATGCTATGGTGAGTTTCCTTTGCGCACCCGTGCCTTTTTGACAGCTTCATAGCTCCACAAACCCTGGGATGCCATTTCAACCTTATGTTGGTGGTCTCCCTCAACCGGACGATGTGTCTGTGCCTTTGTGTTGTCTCTCGCTCTCTCTCTGTCCATTAGGCATTTTATTTGTTTCGATACTTTACATCCTTAGAAAAAGAAGCCCGTGGGCTTTCCTCCGTGTGTTTTTGCCCAGCTTCCTCGTGGTCCATGATGCTGGTGGGCGGAGCTTGTCAGCACCATGAAACCAAACTGGCAGGATGGGAGCAGGTTGTTTTGCCGCTTTTCCAGATCTTTGAGCTACACGTCATATTTAGGGTAGATCACGCCACAATTGTTTAATCTTCCCTTGAGTTTCACAACAATTTCCCCAGCTCTCTGATCATCCATGGTTTCAAAATCGTCCATGAAGCTGTGCTTCATCATCACAGTTAGAAACCAGACAAGTGGGCAGACTAGCAAAAGAAACTCCCCTTTTTAGCTGCTGAATGACCTGCCTCCTTCCCCCTCTGTGTGAGTCTGGGCACTTTAAAGAAACAAATCCACAGAAACTCATGTATAAGAGAGAGTTTTATAGAAAGATTAAATGTGCATCAAGAAAACATCCTAACCCAGTGCCGCCCAAGCCCACAAGTCCAACATTAACCCATTAACTCATATGTCTAACACCGATCCACAAAGAATTATGTATAGGTGCCAGGTTGGCAAGGGTTGGATTGAGGTAGTTAGTTTATTGTGCCAACCTGGCCGATAAACACATGTGGGGTTAATTGAAGGGTGGAGGGATAAATGGCTGAGTGAGCCTCGCCTTTCTGGTTTTTGGGTCTCTTGCTTTCTGATGGTTGGACCAGGGTGCAGCTGCCTTAGCCAGTTCCCTGCTTCAGCTGGCAAGGCTCACTTCCTGTAAGACATCCCTGAGGAGAAGCCACATGGACCTACCATGATGCAGCCCTGGGTGCTGGAGCAGCCATGTGGAGACCCCTGCCAGTGCTGAGATGCTGACACATTCACTGACTCGGCTTTCCTCCTGCAGTCGGCATCATTGCGTCTGTTTTGTAAGATGGAGGAGGACTTTGGGTTGGGATGTTTTCTTGATGTGCACTTAACCTTTATATAGAACTCTCTCTTATACATGAGTTTCTGTGGATTCATTTCTTTAAAGTACCCAGACTAAAATAAATAAATAAATAAATAAATAAAGTGTGCAGGCTAACAAACCCTCCCATCTCAGTCCCACTCGTGATTGATTTTAGAATGGACTCTCAGGTCCCCAGGTTCTGGACACTACAATTAGTTTAGACTAAGTCCATCTACTACCATAATACTAAACATAAATTTATGTACATAAGATCTATTTCCCCATCATCATATATAAATATGTACATGCCTGTATTTAGACCTCTATAAATGCCTTTTGCCTCCTAGTTCTTTCCTCTATTCCTTTGACTTTCCTCTTGTCCCACTATCATGCTCAGCCTGCATTTGGGTTTCAGTAATTCCACTACTTGCCAATTTTGGTTAATTTTTCCCATCTCTTTATGTCTTTTCCTTAAGTTGTTTCTTGGTATGATACAGCTATCGGTTCTATGTTGTTGTCAGGTGCTGTGCAGTGGTTTTTAATTCACAGTGACCCCATCTGCTGTATGACCTCTTTAAAAGTGAAGAGCATGATGTCACTTGGAGGATTAAGATGTGTCTGACCTAAACAATGGTGTTTTCAATCACCTCGTATACCCTCTTATGCCCTCACAGAGATGGGCACCATTGTGAAGATGCCGCAGGCCCTTCCGGTGGGTGTTTCGTTCCATTGTGCATACGGTCCTCGTGAGTCTGAGCTGACCACTTAACAATAACAACATATGCATGTGAAAGTTGGACAATGTGTAGGGAAGACCACAGAATAACTGATGGCTTTGAATTATGGTGAAGAATATTGAAAGTACCTCAGACGGTCAGAAGAACAAATCCATCTGTCTTGGAAGAAGTACAACCTGAATGCTCCTTAGAAACTAGGTGGCCAGGCTTCATTTCACCTACTTTGGACATGTCTGGAGAGACTAGTCCCTGGAAATGGGCATCATGGTAACAATGGCCTCAAACGTAATAATTACGACTATGGTGCAGGCCAGACAGTGTTTTGTTCTGTTGTACATAGGGTCACTATGAGTCAGAACTGACCGGATGGCACCTGACAACAACCATAACAAGTGACCCCTTGCAATAGACTAGAACTGCCCAACAGAGTTGTTGAGACTCTAACTTTTCTGTTAGTAGAGGAATAGGTCTTTCTCCTTCAGAGAGTAGGTACAAAAGAGACCCTCATCTCAAATATAATTTAAGGAGAATATTTTTTTAAAAGGGACAGAGACAACATAAAGATACAGACACATCATCTGAATTAGGAGGGCCATTAGCACAAGGTCGAAATGGTGTCCCAGGATTCACAGTCAGGATACTAAATAAGGTATGGAATAGAAGAAACTGTCCCAAATTCATGATTGGTGGCAGATCAATATATCACAGTTATAGATGGGACTACAGAAGCAGGAATAGGGCCACGATTGAGAGCCAGACATTGTCAGATAGAAGATCTTATACAGTTGGTCTAGGGCCCCTCTGACCAAAGCAGTCAGGGCACAACTGATAGGGCATGATTCATGACTATGTGACACCCCGCCCGCCTCCCAGCACTGTCCCCAGTACAGTACTGTACTATGGTCTTCGTCAAGGCAACACCTAGGCAAGCCCCTGAGAGAGACTGCTCCTCTCTAGGGTAGCTGGAAAGCTATAGAGGTAATCCTCTCTCCAAGGCACTCTGAGGGCAAAATTATCTACATCCTTGGTTAATTATCAGAAAGCATTCAATGGAGACAATCGATATGGGGACCCTATAAATGGTTTTAGCCTGTCATTGCCATCCATAGCTTTTTGCAAACCAGGGTGCTACATCCAACTCTGGTCATTTCGACTGAGTTCTACTGTAAGTACTAGGATTCATGTCACCATCAACTCCCTGCTGGTTTGCCACAGGGATACAATGGGATAGAGTAAGCCTCCCGGTGATCAGTAGTGGTAATTGTAGTCAAAGTACGCATGAAATGGCAAAACTTTAATTCAGATCAGATTATTTCAACCCCTCTCTTCATGTCTGCCATGGTTTTCCAGTCTCAAAGCGAAGGCTGGTCAGTGCACATACTATTTCTGCAGAGTGGCATCAACTGTCCAAGGAGGTAGTTACGTGGGACATTCTGCTTTTCCTTGTGATTTAGTTTCCTCCAGTCATACTGCTTGTTTGCACACCTGAACTATCCAGGTGTGCTCTCGCCCTGATTGGAATGATCTTCCCCCAGACATCTGCCTCATTTGCCTCTCCCCACTACTACATATTATAATTATTTTATTTTCTTCCTACCAGAATACAAGTTCCAAGAAGTCAGGGATTTTTGACACTTTTTGTTCACTGCTGCTCACATAATAGGGGCACAATTTGAATTGGTTAAAAGATATGTTGACGAGTATTTCCTGGGGTTTGTCACGCAGCTTTAAATTTCTTCTGCCATGCAAAACTCTATAATACACTTTTTACTCTCATTTTTTGGTGTCATGGCTTTTTATGGCTCAATTTTGGCCCCCTCACGGGCTGTTTTCATCTACGTTTCAACTTTGTTAAACTTTTTACTGGGCAAAACTCCAAACATATACAAAGGGGAGCCGTCTCATTTCTCGAATGGAAATTCCACGAAGGCAGTTTGAGTTCACATCGTCTCTAGAGCCCGCCAGGTCCTAAGCAACCTCAGGAAGGTTGTTCGCAAAGAAGGGATCCATAGCACGAGGGCTGCACAGGGGCAAACGCCGCTCAACGCAGTCCCGGGAACCGTTGGCTCTCCAGGCCGCCCCCCCCCTCCCCCCCACCCGCTTCTCTAAGTACGCCACACCTGGTGGAAAAGCAAGGCCTGGCTAACATAGCCCCAGCTGCTGGGGCCTCCAGGCCGTCTTCCGGGGGACTCCCTCCGGAAGCGGGTTCCACGCCAGATGGGAGGAGCCTGGCTTGAAGTGAACAAAGTTTTTCCTCTGGGCTCGGAGCTCGGCCCCACCCGGGCCACTAGCCGCCCTCCGACTAGGCCTCTGGCCGCCGGCACAACCCTCGCGCCCTCGCCGTTTCCGCCCTTCAACCCTCCCCGCCCCCCCACCCCGGGCTGTGGCGGTTGGTCGCGCGCCGTCGTTTCTCTCCACCCCTTTCGCTCACGAGCGGGGTCCATGCCCTCTGGGATTGGCTGCGTCTGAGGGACTTGCCCCTTTGCTTTTCTTATTGGTTACTGGCCGAGCGGGCTGCGGATCCTGATTGGCTGATTCAGCGCGCCTGCGCGGCGGGGTTCTCGTCCGCCAGCCATTCCTGGAGAGGACTGCCGGTCGACTGGACGTCTCGCCTGTGGCTGGAGGAGAGATCACGGCTCTCCAGGAAGGCGGCGGCGGCGGTAAAATGAAGATATTCGTGGGCAATGTCGACGGGACCGATACGGCGCCGGAGGAGCTAGCAGCGCTCTTCGCGCCCTATGGCACGGTCATGAGCTGCGCCGTCATGAAACAGTTCGCCTTCGTGCACATGCGCGAGAACGCGGGCGCGCTGCGCGCCATCGAGGCGTTGCACGGCCACGAGCTGCGGCCTGGGCGCGCGCTCGTGGTGGAGATGTCGCGCCCACGGCCGCTTAACACTTGGAAGATTTTCGTGGGCAATGTGTCGGCTGCGTGCACGAGCCAGGAACTGCGTAGCCTCTTCGAGCGCCGAGGACGCGTCATCGAGTGTGACGTGGTGAAAGGTAACGCGGCGGCGCGCTCGGGGCTGGCGCGCGCGCG